ATTTGTATTTGCCTGATCAACATGAAGTTTTGTGGCACCAAATACACCTCTGTAGTGTGCTTATTATTACCATGGTAACCGTTGTAAAGACATCGGTGCTAATAAACTACTTCAAAAATACTTCCATTTTCAAAGCCTATCACGGAAGTATTATCCTATGACTGAAATTCATGGCTATATAATTAACAACAACACATGCTCAGTATGTAACGTGGCCGCCATTGGTGCGAGAAGCGCATGTAATTTTCACCTTTCAATCTGTACCATTTTGTTTGTTTTGATGTACGTTTCTTATAGTTATTACATGAATGAATTGCAGAGCATTAAATAACATCACCACAATTGTGTATATTTACTTAAGTTGTGCCGATTCAGGTTGAAAACCCACACATTTTTGGAAAAAAATCAGTAACTATAAGTCCCTATGGCAGTAACAATGGATGCATACAATTGCTTGACAGGGATGAATGTTCACACAAAAATACAGAAATTATGCCCAAAATGTTATCTAGACAAGAGTTTGGAAAAATATATAAAAAACACCTCTAGTGGTAACAGCAATAGAACCAAGTATGTCATATTATAGAATAATGGTCAACCAATATTTTCCTGCCAAATCGGTTGTAGGAAAATCGGTCAAAGTATATGCAAATCAACATGGGATTACAGTGTGCTGTACCCCTCCCTTTCAGAAAAAAACCCAAATACCCGCCAGAAAGGGTTAAAATCTGTAAGCACTTGCGGTTCGGTGGGGAAGTTGATTTTTTTTATAAACACATTAACAAGACTTTCCCTGCTTGTATACAAAAAAAACCTGTCATTCATAAGCACCAATACATTTAGATTGCTTGCCATGTAACAACGGATGCACCACAGAAGTGTGGCCATGTTCACTGTTGACAGTTTGGAAGAGATTCAAAATGTCATGCTGATTACGAAATTACGATTTTGGAGGGCATAGCAGCACCCATAACGGTACTATATTCGACTTTTATTTGCTTGATCTAACCATATTTACACGTTCAATTCAATCAATCAATATAGAGGCCATTTTGAGTTTTCACTAAAGTGATAGTTGTTAAAGTACATGTATTTTAATATAAAAATATGAGTTATTTGCTCTCGTAATCGCAATATCACATCTCTGTATTGAAAATAATAAAATAAATGCAAATTTGTTAAAACAAATTTCAGAATTATGTTCATGTACCATGTACATGTATCCATATTACAACCCCCCCCCCCCTGCGCTTTCCAGATATTCCAAACCACTCCCACGTTGACAAAAAAATAGCGAAACCTACATAGGGTATGTAAATATGTGGACTTTCCGCAAGGCAATATCTAACCTTAACAATAATACATATTCCGTACTATTCTTTGGGAGGGGAGGGGTAGTTGTTCATAATGAACACTGGAGTAGGAAGAGGGGTGGCAGGGGGTGGGCTGTAAGACGGGTACGCCTGTTGGTGTAGATTATGAAAGCTTCACTGGCAAATTGACATCTATTATTTACAATATTAATTTAGGCAAATACATGCAGAAATCAAAATCTGAATTTGGTGGCAAAGGAAGGGGCGGGGCCTAGCTAGGAGGGGAGGACTGGACATCATTGGAATGATGGTGCACTTCAATCAGAGGACAGTGGATATGGCTATAGTGGCTACAAGTACTATAAGGCTGCAGACAATATTTACGTTCAGGATGGTTTATTATCCACAACAAGTAACTCAATTTACGAGGCAAAGTGGAACAGTGAAAACATCGGTGTGACATGCGATTGAACGATGAGAAATCTACAGTGCGCGAACTTTGACCTTAGTGTTCACACGCTGTCCACAGAGGGCGCACTAACAATAACACTACAATTTGGCTACTACAGGAGCCCCCTACCAGTGAATGTTAATGAACGAAATCTGTTAGAGGCCAATGCACATGGCGACCTGATCGCGTTCTGGTCACCACAGATGGAGCAATCACTGGTTCAGGTGAGTGAGACAGAGTTTGAGTGTCAGAATTATGCTCATCAAAATAAGCAGGCTTAATCCGATCAATGCATACAGTGTCTGTGCGACCAGCAATGTCAATGACAAAGTGTTTGTCTGCGCGGCTGATAACCCTGTATGGTCCGTTATAGGGTGGCTGGAGGGGCTTGCGTACACCATCATAACGCACGAAAACATGTGTACATGTATTCAGGTCCTTCGGCATATGAACAGTTCGCTGTTGCTGTCGACGGGGCGGTGTTGGGTGGAGCTGACTCATGGAAGCCTTGAGCCGGTCAACATAATCTGCTGGGTCCAACAGTGGGGCAGCGCTGTCAGGCTCGAAAAACTGGCCTGGCAGTCTTAGCGTGGTGCCGAAAACGAGCTCAGCTGGACAATGGCCCAAGTCTGGTTTGACAGCAGAACGAATTCCCAGCAGAATAAGTGGGAGTGTTTCTGTCCATTTCGTGGGATCATCTTGCGCTTTAAGTGAAGCCTTGAGCTGGAGATGTAGTCGTTCGACCATGCCGTTTGCTGCTGGATGATAGGCTGTAGTGTGTATGTGTTTGCAGCCAAGGAGCTTGGTGAGGGCGCGAAACAGGGCCGATTCAAATTGACGGCCTCGGTCAGTTGTCACCGTTGATGGGGTACCGAAGTGGGAAACCCATCTATCAACGAAAGTTCTGGCGACAGTCTCGGCCGTTATGTCGATGATTGGTATGGCCTCTGGCCATCGGGTGAAGCGATCCACAAAGGTGAGTAAGTAGCGGTACCCATTGGATAGCGGTAGGGGTCCCACTATGTCCAAGTGCACGTGGCTGAATCGAGCATCAGGAGTGGCGAATGTACCGAGTGGAGTATGGGTGTGTCGGTGCACTTTCGCGCGTTGACACGCTATGCACTCACGCGTCCACTGGCGAATGTCGCGATTGATACCTGGCCAGACGAATCGTTCGGTGATGAGTCGTTGCGTTGCTCTGATACCAGGATGTGCGAGGGAATGAAGCGAGTCAAAGACAGTTCTGCGAAGACTACTAGGCACAAATGGACGTGGTGTGCCTGTAGAAGTGTCACAAACGATCTGCGATGTCCCAGTAGTCAGTGGAATGTCTGTGAGATGGAGTGATGTCGAAGCTGTACGAAGTTTCTGCAGTTCATCATCACGTTGTTGCATGTCGGCCATGACATCAAAATCGATGGCAGATGGGAGGGTGGCTGCATTCAGCTGGATCCGACACAGTGCGTCAGCTGGGGCATTGTCAACACCCTTCACTGCTCGAATGTCCGTGGTGAATTGCGAAATGAAGTCCAGTTGGCGGATTTCGCGTGGAGCGTGTCGGTCTGGTGATGCCTTGAAGGCATACGTGAGTGGCTTGTGATCTGTGAGGACATAAAAGTGACGTCCTTCCAACATGGCACGAAAGTGGCGTATGGTCAGGTAAATGGCTAACAGTTCCCGGCCAAAAGCGCTATATCGAGTCTCCGCTGGTTTGAGTTTGCGTGAGAAGAAGGCGATCGGCTGCCAAGCGTTGTCAACTCTTTGTTGGAGGACAGCACCAACAGCGACGTCTGAGGCGTCAGTCATGACACATAAGTCTGCATTGGGCTGAGGATGTGCGAGGGTGGCAACATTAGCGAGAGCTGACTTGATGTTGTCAAAAGCCACTTCAGCTGCGTCAGTCCACTGCAGGCTTTTCGACTGTCCGCGGGATGTCGTGAGATCAGTGAGCGGTTGGAGGATGGCAGCTGCGTGTGGTATGAACCTCCGGTAGAAGTTCACTAACCCAAGGAACTCCTTGAGTTTGCGCTGTGTCGTGGGTCGTGGGAACTCGCGGATGGCTTGGGTTTTCTCCCCAAGTGGGCGGACTCCCTGGGAATCCACGCAGTGACCGAGGAATTCCAAGGACTCCACACCAAACTGGCTTTTCGCAGGGTTGATGACGAGTCCGTGGTCAGACAAGCGATTGAAGAGCTGGAGAAGATGTCGTTCGTGTTCTTCCGCATCAGCACTAGCAACGAGGAGATCATCGATATATGCATAGCAGAAGTCGAGTCCGCGGATGACACTGTCAATGAATCTCTCAAAAGTTTGCGCGGCGTTTCGGAGCCCGAAGGGCATTCGCACAAACTCGTAGAGTCCGAAGGGCGTGGTGACTGCAGTTTTGGGGATGTCGGTAGGCTCCACCGGAATTTGGTGGTAGGCTCGCACCAGATCGATTTTGGAGAAAACCTTGGCACCATGCAGCGATGACGAAAAGTCGTGGATGTGCAGTATTGGGTAGCGGTCTGGAACTGTGCGATCGTTGAGTGCTCGGTAGTCCCCACAAGGTCTCCAGTCCCCTGGGGTCTTCTTTGGGACCATGTGGAGGGGTGAAGCCCAATTGCTGCTTGATGGCCTGATGATACCAAGTTGCAGCATGTGGTCAAACTCCTGTCGAGCAATGTTCAGTCTATCTGGACGAAGGCGACGAGGACGAGCCGAAACCGGTGGACCGGTCGTGGTGATGTGATGCGTGACGCTGTGCTTGACTGACTTGTCATCATAGCATGGTCTCGTGATGTCCGGAAACTGGGCTAGTAGTGCACGGTATGGCGATTGGGAGTCGACTGTTGTAAACATTGGATGAGGTGAGGGTTGACTGCACATGACACCATTGACACTGATATTGGTCGTGGCATCTAACAATCGACAATGGCGCATGTCCACTAACAGGTTGAAATGGCGTAGAAAATCCGCACCGATGATGGGCTGGTGGACGTCTGCAATGACAAATACCCATCTACATGTTCGTCGGTGCCCTAAATCCAACGTGAGTGACCGTTCTCCATAAGTTGAAATGGGCGAGCGATTTGCAGCTTGCAAGTGACAATCTTGTCGGGGTCGCTGGCGTTCAAGTCGCGATGGGGGGACAACACTCACTTCTGCCCCAGTGTCAATGAGGAAGCGTTGTCTTGTCGTGCGATCCATAATGTGGAAGAGGCGACCATGCTTTTCGCCAGCAGTGCCTGTCGCCGTTAGTTGCTGGCGGTTGCGTTTCCCGGATACTGACATGGCTGACGGCATTTGCGAGCTTGGTCACCGAAAGACGCATGGTACCAACACCAGGAAGAGAGATCAGCGGCTGCCGAATCTCCGGTGGATGGAGTAGGTGTCTGTGATCGCGAGCGATTACGGGGTCGACTGCGAGAACGTGGGCGGCGTGACAAGGCTTGTACTTGAAGCGAGAGTTGACCGATTTCCTTTCGCAGGAGTTCCAGTTCTGTCAGCGGTGCAGGCATGGCGGGGGTACATGCAGATGTTACTGGTGCAACCGAGTTGACTTTCACGGGCTGCTGCTGAAAGGCAACATCCATGATTTTGTCGGCAAGTTCAGCTAACGGCTCCAACTTGACACTTTCTCCAGTTGATGCCAACACCATTTGCACATTGGGTGGTAGTCGCTGCAAAAATAGCTGGCGGAGGATTGATTCCTCAAGCACGCGTTCCCCAAGTAATTGTCTCATATGGCGAAGCAACTGGGTGGGTTTACGGTCGCCCAGCACCTCGTCATTGAGGAGTTGCTGAAGGCGTTTCTGTTCAGTTGCTGATGTTCGTTTGATTAGTTCTTCTCTCAAAGTTTTGTAAGGGTTCTCTGCAGGAGGGGCGAGTAGCAAATCGCGCACTTCCTGAGCAATTTCGGGGGTGAGGGCAGACACAATATACGCGTATTTCGTGGCCTCTGATGTGATATGTCTGGTAGTAAACTGGGCCTCAACCTGGGCGAACCATACGTACGGATCGGCAGGCCAATACGGCGGTAGTTTTATGCTTACCGCAGTCATTTGTCCGCTGTGCCCGCTCGAAGTTGCAACATTTTCTGCTCCGTGCTTTGACTCCATTTCGCGTATTTCCACCGTCAGGGTCACCAATTATAGTGGCTACAAGTACTATAAGGCTGCAGACAATATTTACGTTCAGGATGGTTTATTATCCACAACAAGTAACTCAATTTACGAGGCAAAGTGGAACAGTGAAAACATCGGTGTGACATGCGATTGAACGATGAGAAATCTACAGTGCGCGAACTTTGACCTTAGTGTTCACACGCTGTCCACAGAGGGCGCACTAACAATAACACTACAATTTGGCTACTACATGGCTATTATTCATTGCAGCTTGCAAACACATGAGTTTGCCCATGTGACAATGATTGTACCGACAATGCCAAGTTATTGGTGGGTGGTCACACCCTACCCTCAATCCCAAGCAATGCCCCCGGGATGGGGGAAGGGGAGGCTGTGAAAAGGAATTCTATGTTATTTCTAAAGCGTTCACTTGCATATTTACATTCGTTTCGTTATGCAACATACAAGTTCAAAATTCGGTGGCACAGGGGGAGTCGGCGGGGCCTAGCCAGGTGTTGGGGGAAGTACACGACCTACTATTCATCCAATGGTCTAAAAATGATACACAGTCTGATTCTGTTTGTAAAAATGTGCTAGATTCATGAACAATACCAATTATACAAGTCATTACTCAAAACAAAGGAAAACACTGAAAATACACTTTTTAAGGTTTTTGTGAAATTTAACATTTTTGGAGCGCTACTGCATAAAGGCTATACAATAACCCAACATTTTCTCACCAGATATGAAAAGACCAATGTCTGAACTAACCATAACCGAAAGGAAAATTATTCTGAGTGCCCTGGCAAGTGCCATTTTGGAGGGTTAAAAATGGTGTAAAAAAATGCAGTTTTGCTAGTTGTAAAAACATGCTGTATTATAGGGCCTAAAAATAATATAAAGGAGATTTTTCAGAAGTGTTTCTATTTTTTCTTGGAAGGGTATGGATGATACTTCGTCGTGATATAGTTACTTTTGTGACATAACTTTGCAGTTTGGCTGGATGACCTTTGGAAATAACGCGAAAAATGAATTTTTGCAGTCTCAAAATGGCCAAAACACATAATGGCCCGTAACCATGGCAACGGGCAAAATAAAGTTTGAAAAGTCTATTTTGGTAACTTGCTCCCTAAATCCTTTCATCCCACAAAGTTAAAAAAATTCGATTTTTTGAGCGTGGACACTTATATGAAGTATTTACACGAAATTACTCTTAATTACACTTGGGAGTTAACAGCTCAACTAAGCAGCAACGCGCACAGCTTGAACAATGCGCCCAATGTAAACATTTGAAGCAAAAAAATCAGGTAAAAAAAAAAAAAAAAGCCGCTGCGCCGCATCACTTTTTGGGCAAGCTCCATACCAGAAACCGGAGACTTTTTTGGCCTTACGGAGTTACGGAGTTTTATGAAGTTACGGAGCCCCTAAAGGGACATCCAAAATTATTTTTTTATCTCGTGCGCCCGACATAATATCTCGTGCGCACGAGATAATTATCACGTCATGTTGTGTGGTTCAAGAGTATAAACCTCTCGATTGAACCACGTTGCTCTGACTCACATACATTGTTTACTCATCGATGGCTAGATTGCAACTGACGAAAACTTACAGTTCGTGCGTGTTTAAGGGCGCACTTTGCCTCTTTACAAATAAAGGGGTTAGGTTCGCCACCCAGGCGAAACACTGACGGCTTGTTCCGTCACACATGTACATGTAACGCTGCAGCTAGCTGCAAAAAGGGCCTACCATTTTCGGGGATTGTGTAGTTTAGCCCACCGTTTTAAAATAACTGAGCTGCTCCAAATGAACTACATTTTCGACTCAACACAATCTTCTCTTAAATTTGGGTCAGTATTTTGGAGAAATTTTTTTCAACCTGATTATCCTGCAATAAAAATCAATATCTGGTTACCACCTCCAAACTTGTGGGTCTATGTATGTACAATATTCCATGTCGGAAATTTAAAAAAAAAAATCAATATTTTCCATCTCCCCATTTTTAAAAGGTTTACAAGTCTTGGTAGAAGTTAAGTTCTATTATAGGTTTTCCTGGCCAATTTCACCAAGTTTTCATTCAATTTAACGCCTGGCTCATTCGATTTAGATTGAAATTGAAAGATCACGCAGATCGGCATTCGACAATAAAAAAGAATCATTCTATTTCACTATCCGAGCATTCTAGCGCCTTTTAGCTTCACTCGTCCCTATTAAAGATGCATTCATGTTAAAAGTATCACGTTGTTCATTCAATTTTGTCTAAAGGGTTGATCAGGCATTCGTTTTCATTAATGGGCAAACATGTTTCACATTTTGTCAAACATCTTTTAAGACTGCATACGTGTTCTTGTTCCTTATCGTAAATCATATTTGATGACTTCAAACCGTAGAATGATTGACTTTTCTTTCTTAATTTTCGTAGGAATTCTGTTTGCGCAACTCTGTGAAATGTAAGAAACTACGCATTTGACAACACTTTTGGGGTTTATCTTATTGCAAATGTGCACTTCTTTAAACGTTTAAAAGTTTCCATGATTTTTAGACTAACGCTGTTACTGTGATGTCATTTCAGGAAGACACTGTTATGTTCAGTTTAGGTTTTTTCTTTCAAATTATTCATACAAAATTTGCTAATTGAAAACATTGGTGGGAAAGGGTTGGTCATTGGCTTACTGCCATGTACTGACATATCATATAATCACCAAATACAAAAATTATGGTAGCAAAATATCCAAAAATCTAGCAACTTATTTTTGCTGAAATAGCCGTGTAACATTAATCATGTTCGGAATCCCATCACTGGTTTTCTAATGAATATGAAACTTTGCATTAGCATAAAAACGGAGAAGGCACTAAAAAACACCCCTAAAAATGGAAAATAAAACTTGCAAATAAGGTGAAATGTGTCACAAAGATGTATTTCCAAGGTTTGCATTGTAAACTTTGCATGGGCCCTGTGAATACGGTAAGTGTTCGGTCAGACATTCGCAACATTTAAGAAATAACGCAAGAGAAGTGTTCCCGACGGTACATTGCCAAACATACGTGTCCCGATGTCTTGCACGTCAGGAAATCGTCAACGTAAAAAAGCCCCTTAATCAAACGTTTAAACAAGTATATAGAAAAGATCAACAGTGAAAAAGAAATTATCTTAGTCCCTTTCAATTCATTATTTCATTGCATCTTGTTTCCCTCATATCAGTTGATTTGTAACATTGTAAATTGTACAGCCATCAATATTTTTTTTGGGGGGGGGGAATGAACCTCGGAGAAAAATAGGAACAAATATCTATTAAAAATGTTTACTTATTTTTTGCAATCAATTTCCTTATCAATCTCTTTGTACTCTGGAGATGTTCGTCTCTTTGTCTATCTTTGTTCATCAACTCAATGATCCCATCTTTCATCTACTTATGCTTTTTCACTCTTTGTCTCTTCGGCAAAACCGCTTCCATTGCTTCAAACATATTTTCTCTAACAGCACTCCATTTTTCCTCAATGGCCGGTTCAGCTTGCACGTGTTCTCTTTCCACATTAAGAACTGAAAACTTGTTTCTAGCAGTAAGATTAAACATGCTTCAATCTTACTGGATGGGATGTTTGTTTACTTTCACTACCACACCTGCAAGAGTCCGGCAGTCTCCTGATGACGAACAGAGCATACTGTTGGAAACGTGGAATTAAACCAACTGGTTCTTCTCAGAACCACACAACTCACATAGAGATATCATTCACATGGTGTTACCGCAAACCTCCCATCCATCGATCATGTCCATCATGCAAACCCTTAAGTCTCATTGTCAAGATTTCTTGGCACTATGTGATGTCCAAAGGAAAACCCTGTTTCCCTAAATTATTATTTCAAAATTCAGGAGAATATGTACATGTTGTAATTGTTGTTTCTTCAGGTGTCCCTCAGACGGGAGAAACACGACATAGCTGATTATATAAGGTAAGTGAGAATGCATATCTCCTCATAGCGACTCAACCTAAATCTGTATACAGCATTCAGAATCGGTCAAAACACTGGATCTTTACACTTAAGTAAGGATGACTATACAACAATTGCTGTGATTGTATGTAGAATAGTCTGTTTTCATGTTATTCAGTCATGAGACTTTAAAGAAGCCGATTCTGAAAATAGTGGCTGGGCGGTATCCATGGTGCCTAGAGCGTTGTCATATACATACCACATCGACTCGTCATGGTTCCCGACTATACGATGACGTATTGCATAAGCATAATAAATTCTGCATGGTGCCTGGCGTTGTCGTATCAATACCACATCGACTCGTCAAACGATGACGTATACATTAGCACTTTGAATTCTGGCGATGTCATGCACAATGTTTGCGTGCAAATCAGTGCGACCGTGCCTGTATTTGGGGGGGGGGGGTTGGTAGCTAGCCAGGGTGGAACCAGGAATTTGTGCAGGGTGGCGTGCTGAAATGTAGACGGTATTTGTTCTTTTCCATACACTTCGAAAATCAATAGGTGAGGGGGGAGAGTGGGGGGGGGGGGGGGGGGGGGGGGCTCGTACCATATTTTCAATAGGGAACGCTGATAAAATCCTACAATCATACACAGTGTACAAATGCCCCTTTCTCACGACTATTTTTGTTTAGGGGGAAACGGTTCACATGGGACGTCACTTTGTAACATTTGATACTGCCATTTCAAGCGTGCTAGACAAGCGTTTCGGGGGGCTACCCCCCCCCCCCCCCCTCTCTCTCTCTCTCTTTTTTTCCCCCCCCCCCCGAACCGCGCATGAGATTTGGCGAGAAATACACATTTTTGAGGAAAAACAAACATCAATGTTGATTAGCCTAAAGGCACGGCCATTTTCCTGTAGGCCTTCCACTAAAACTGGTGACTCGACAGGAGACGAACAAACTACACGGATCAGGAGGAAACGCCTAACATTGATGTTACCACTTCTGGTTGGTTTATGCTGTAAGTTTTATACATATATTATCAAATACTCAGTTCTCAATTTA